AGGTAGGGCCCAGGTAGGGCCCAGGTAGGGCCCAGGTAGGGCCCAGGTAGTGCAGGGTTTGCTCGAATTCCCACCGGCGGCCCCACGATGTTGGTCAGTGACGTTGGAGGCCAGTGAGGACGCCAACGAGGCGGGGCAGTCCATCGAGGCCAACGAGGCGGGTTCGGTGCTGCGGGTTGGCTCGGAGGCGAAAGTCGGAGCGAGGTTTTGGACTGTCTGAACGCTTATAGACTTATAGGTAAGCCATGGTAAGCCTTGGTTCCAAAGAGCATCCCGAAGCTGGTTCAAAAAAGCATCCAGAAGCAGAAAAGATCCAGAACCATGCCCAAAGTCACGCTTTTGAAGGTAGATGGCATGTGAGAGCTGCTCAAAGTCAGCTTGCATACACAAATATCTTAGCTTCATTATATTTTGCTTCAGCTTCAGGCAACGCAGCAGGCATCATCAGTCCACACAAGTTGCACTGGCATGCCGAGCTTTGTGCCCGTTCAAGATCCAGAAAAGGCCAGGTCTGAGCAGGATGAAGAATCTTTGCGCAAGCACCGGCAGTTCGACACACCCTTCGCATTGCTACCAAAGGACTTAAACAACCCGAAAGAGAAGAAGGGTGACCTGAACCCGATTGCCAAACGATCAGAGGAGCTGTACCAGGATGAAAACAAGCTGTGGAAGAAAAAGCGGGAGGTTTTCGACAAGCAGCAAACCTGGGGCAGAGAAACTGCGATTTGGTCGAACCCCGAAGAGACGCGGGACAAGGACAAACGCAAGTACAAGCCTGGCGAGGTCTTCTGGGGAGCCAAGGGCACGTTCGGCGGGAAAAGCGAAGACAGTGGTCTACTGACCCTTCAACGGGGTGAAGTTGATCAGACCATGGAGCTGAATGAAAAGGGCCTTTGGGTGCGGAAGAAGAAGCCCACAGAGGAGGCCCCAGGCTTATCCGCCAGTGCCAAGCAGCTTCTGAAGGCGTCTTCCAGTGTAGAGGATCCACGCTTGGAGGCGGCCAAGCCAAAGGGTCGCGGCACAGCGGATGCTTCGGAGAAAGCCCTGCAGGCCTTGCAGGAGCGGCGGCAACTGGAGCGAAAGGTGGCGGATGAGATGGGCATGACGAACAAGGGCATGAAGCCGCAACATCGCTCGGGGCCGGTGACCACTTTGAACAACAGCTCCCAGCAATGTCGGCCCAGCAAGCGCCATGCGGGCATGAAACGATGGCAAGGAGTGCAAAGAAGTGATGAGGAGGCCAAGGAGATTGTTGAAAAGGCCTTGGGATCATGTGCTGTTGGCGGTGAAGCACCCAAGAGAATGGAGCCCAGCCAGACGTCTAACAAGCGAAACCGAAGCCCTTCCCCGGTACTGGGGTTGAGCAGCCCATCGGGCTCCGAAAAGGAAGATGATGGAAAGTTCGAAGCAGCCTGGATGGACTCCGATGATGAGAGAGAGGCCTCGAAGTTGAATCAAAAGCCATCCGGTGGTGATATCGTGGTCGACTTCTTCTGAAGCCCGTCACGGCCAACAGGGCCATGCTCGGCCAACAGGGCCATGCTGGGCCAACAGGGCCATTTTGGCCAACAGGGCCATGCTTTGTAAATACAAGTTCGTTGAGCTGAAAGCAGAGAGCTGCCTCTTTGATCAAAACCGGATTTATTCCGCAGTGGGAAGGGTAGGGAAAAGGTTTTAACGATCTTTTCAGTTAATTGCCTAGGTTTCATGCTCCGTTTTTATGAGTATGCGTATATCCCCGTTCTTATGGGACGGCCATGCCTTGTGGATGCTCCGTGCAGGGGGAGGTGTTGGACGATCTGCGGCACGTGGACGTCGATCAGCAGAAGAGGCGAGTGAGCGGAGAGCAAGCTCTGAGGGCTTTCATTGAACAGATGCAGGTCCCGGGTGATTCTTCACCCTTAAGCCAAGCAGGGCTACGAGACCTGAACTGTAGGCCTACAAGACTTGAGAGCACACAAGCTGTCCAGCATGTGTGCCAGCAGCTTGTTGTGGCTCAATCTTTGTTTAGCTCTCTCGTGCTGTCTTGCTCTTTCGCCATGCCTGAGACTATGGAGATCAGTGA